ACTTTAAAAAAAATATTACTTTTCAAAAAAATATTTCAATGGGTAAAAAATAGTTTTTTAGGGAATTTATAACAGTGAAGAACTAGATACCTTTCCAGCATCTATGCAGGGATAGAACTGAGCATGTGCAGAACACATTTTAGCCGTCTGCCGCTGTCGCTTTCTTTTTAGACGCTGTTCAATAGTAAATCTCAGTGTGGAGTCATCTGACAGACGGCACTCGGTCACGTCTCCTGTGTGTGGAGTCCTCTGACAGCCGGCACTCGGTGGCGTCTCCTGTGTGTGGAGTCATCTGACAGACGGCACTCGGTCACGTCTCCTGTGTGTGGAGTCATCTGACAGCCGGCACTCGGTGGCGTCTCCTGTGTGTGGAGTCATCTGACAGACGGCACTCGGTCACGTCTCCTGTGTGTGGAGTCCTCTGACAGCCGGCACTCGGTCACGTCTCCTGTGTGTGACAACCAGCACCATTTGTAACCAGGCATATCTATGTATTTTCATTTGATTTCCTTAGTTCTATTGATTCTGTTTTTGTTTCCTATCCTTTATAATTATTTCTGTCATGGTGTTACATATTTTGAAGATCTAGATAATATATATTATTGATAGCTGAATCTAAAAATAAAGGTCAGCAATTAAAAAATTAATGAAAAAAAATGGCGTGGGGTCCCCCCTCCCATTTATACCAAGCCTTTTGGGTCTGGATTTAGAGGGAAAGCCCTATGCCAAAATTTTAAATATAAATGGTGTGGGGGTCCCCCCAATCCATACCAAACTCTTATCCAAGCATGCAGCCCAGCAGGTCAGGAAAGGGGGGATAAGCGAGCGCCCCCCCCTCCTGAACCATACCAGGCCACGTGCCCTCAACATGGGGGGTGCTTTGGGGCAGGGGGACTCCCCTCCTCAAAGCACCTTGTCCCTATGTTGATGGGGACAAGGGCCTCTTCCCAATAACCCTGGGCTGTGATTGTGGGGGTCTGCAGGCAAGGGAGCTTACCAAAATCTGGAAGCCCCCTTTAGCAAGGGGGCCCCCAGATCCCGTCCCCCCTAGTTGAATGAGTATGGGGTACATGGTACCCCTGCACATTCACCAAAAAAAAGTGTAGTGTCAAAAAAGACAGGAGTCAGTCTTAGAAGAAAACAGAAAGAATGTCCCCTGCAGTAGATCCAATGTCAATCACGATGCCCACCGCCGCCACTGCCTACCGGATAAAAAGAATTAAAAAAAAGTCTCCATTCCCGACGATGGCTTCCAGACATCTGCCTCTGAGCTGGTTTGACAGTTCTTAAATATCTAAGGGCGGGGCCACCCAGGGACATCATGCATGTGACCCCACCCCATGTGACACCTTGTACCCCAAACTCATTCAACTAGGGATGGAGTGGCCAGGATCTGGGGTACCCCTTGCTAAAGGGGGCTTCCAGATTCCAATAAGCCCTCTGCCTGCAGACCCCCACAACCACAGCCCAGGGTTGTGGGGAAGAGGCCCTTGTCCCCATCAACATGGGGACAAGATGCTTTGGGGAGGGGAGATCCCTTGCCCCAAAGCACCCCCACATGTTGAGGACATGTGGCCTGGTATGGTTTAGGAGGGGGCTCACTCACCCCCCCCCCTTTCCTGACCTCCCGGGCTGCATGTTTTTTTTTTTTTTTTATAATTTCCCCCAATTCTTTTTTTTTATATTCAGCTGTCAGTCGGGAACTCTGCCGACAGCTGCAACATGAACGCTGCATTGGTTTTCACTACTAAAAAGCCCGCATGACTTGATAAACTAACTCATGCGGGATTTTAGTAGTGACAACCATGTGTTAATGTTTCAGCTGTCAGCGGGGTTCCCCACTGACAGCTGAATGTAAAATAATCACCGGCAATTAAAAAAAAAAATATTAAAAAAAAAAAAAAAGGTGTGGGGTCCCCCCTCCCATCCATACCAAGCCCTTCAGGTCTGGTATGGATTTTGAGGGGAACTCTCACGCCAAAATGTAAAAAAAAAAAAAAAAAAAAATGGTGCGGGGGTTCTCCCCAAAATCCATACCAGACCCTTATCCAAGCATGCAGTCCGACAGGTCAAGAAAGGGGGGGACAAGCGAGCACCCCCCTCTCCTGAACCATACCTGGCCACATGCTCTCAACATGGGGGGATGCTTTGGGGAAGGGGGAGCTCCCCCCCCAAAGCACTTTGTCCCCATATTGATAGGGACAAGTACCTCTTCCCCACAACCCTGGCCAGTGATTGTGGGGGTCTGTGGGTGGGGGACTTATTAGAATCTGGAAGCCTGTATGACCACATACACAAAGGTTCTATATGTGTATCCACACAAGAAAATAATTTCAAAATTTACTCTAGATGGTATAGGGTGCCATCCCTACTTCACCGCTTTGACCCTAACATTTCTGCTCTGTGTTGGAGATGCCATCAAACTACGAGTACACTCCTGCACATTTGGTGGGAATGCCCATTGTTACAACCCTTCTGGGGGAAAGTTCAATCTACAATCACACGAGTTACTACGTACACCCTAGACCAGGGGTGGGCAAACTTTTTGACTTGAGGGCCGCAATGGGTTCATATATTGGACCCGGGGGCCAGACTAGCTGCTGGCCGGCCCAGCCACTATCATGCCATCCATAGTAAGTATAGTAATATTCCCCCATAGTAAGCATAGTAATTAATCCCCCATATCCCCCATATAGTAATTCATCCCCCATATAGTAATTCATCCCCCATAGTAATTCATCCCCCATAGTAATTCATCCCCCATATAGTAATTCATCCCCCCTATAGTAATTCACCCCCCCTATAGTAATTCATCCCCCCTATAGTAATTAATCCCCCATATAGTAATTCATCCCCCATATAGTAATTCATCCCCCATAGTAATTCATCCCCCATATAGTAATTCATCCCGCATATAGTAATTCATCCCCCATAGTAATTCATCCCCCATATAGTAATTCATCCCCCATAGTAATTCATCCCCCATATAGTAATTCATCCCCCATAGTAATTCATCCCCCATATAGTAATTCATCCCCCATAGTAATTCATCCCCCATATAGTAATTCATCCCCCATAGTAATTCATCCCCCATATAGTAATTCATCCCCCATAGTAATTCATCCCCTATATAGTAATTCATCCCCCATAGTAATTCATCCCCCATAGTAATTCATCCCCCATATAGTAATTCATCCCCCATAGTAATTCATCCCCCATATAGTAATTCATCCCCCATAGTAATTCATCCCCCCTATAGTAAATCATCCCCTATATAGTAATTCATCCCCCTATAGTAATTCATCCCCCATAGTAATTCATCCCCCATATAGTAATTCATCCCCCAGAGTAATTCATCCCCCATAGTAATTCATCCCCCATATAGTAATTCATCCCCCCTATAGTAATTCATCCCCCCTATAGTAATTAATTTCCCATATTAATTCATCCCCCATATTAAGTCCCCAAGTCCCCCCTGTGTCAATTTACTTACCTTTGCTCCGCGCGTTCCTCTCGCCGTGTTGCCGCGCGCCGTTCCGGTCTTCAGGGTGGACTGTGAGAGGAGCCTAGCTCCCCTCACGTTCGTCACGCTGCCCCGCCTACACACATCCTGACAGCCAATCACTGGCTATCAGGATGTGAGTGGCAGCGAGACTGGCCAATCATTGCATTTGAGCGAGCTGCCCTGGCTGTTTTTTTTTGTATCACGCTCCGCGGGCCGGATTAAAAGGTCCGCCGGGCCGTATACGGCCCGCGGGCTGTAGTTTGCCCATTGCTGCCCTAGACCCTTCTCCCGCACAATTTCTGCTTCACCATACCACGCTCCCATTTCGGACATACCACAAGTCACTTGCTATGCACATGGTGAATGCTGCAAAGCAATGTATACCGTACACTGGCGCTCCACACATGTTCCCACTGTACGAGAATGGTTTGCCAGGATTGACAAAACTGAGGAAATGGAGGAACTGATTTCTATAGCTAAGGAACATCCCGAGAGATTTCTGAACACATGGGCATGTTGGAGTCATTTCAAATCCACTTCTTATCACAGAATAGTAAATGAGCAATCTAGATCTCCGGATTGAATTTCCTCGGGAAATACTCGGTTCATCGAAAATGCTTTTCTCACACGTAAAGATAGATTGTAGTGCTATATCATGATATGTTTTACGGGGTTTCTAATCCATGTGTTACCCCACTGTCGGATCTTGCATGTGACATATACTAAGCTATATTACTTTGCCGGCTCGGCTAATACTCGGGGAGGTGACCTAGTTTAACTTTTTATTGCCTCTATACGCCACTGTCACTCAACCCATTCCCCCCCATATATAAATTTTTGTTTTGTTTTGTCCCAGCTATCAACTCATCCTACATCTCTTCTTCTTGCTGTTCTTCTTTCTGACCTCTCTTCTTGTTCACACCTGTTATACCACCTTATCAGTCATTCTTCACCAACCATATAGTGCACTCACCCTCACACAGATCGGACTCACTTCATCTATGTTATACACTTAACCTCCCTGGCGGTATGATTATTTCCGATTTTTTGTGCTGAAAGCGGTACCATTTTTTTTGCATGGAAATATGTAGTTTTTTATTGTAGGCTGTAATTTTTAGGAATAACTCATTGAAATCTGTCTGAACAAGAGTCTAGTAAACATCCCGGGTAGGATAAAACTCGAAACACGAAATCATAAATTATAATTTAATAAATAATCATAAAAAACAATAATATAATAATAATAAATTTAATTCAATAATATAATCAAACCAAAAACACTGAAATTTGAAATACAGAGCGCCAAGTTCGCACATCGCTGAGCAAAGTCGCAAAATCGTTTTCAGTGTCTGATGATGAATTTCCCCCACGAATCATTATCACTCAATTCTGCAAGTGGTTCTGATTTACTATCGCTGTTCTCTAGCTGATCTAAAACCGCTTTTGACCTAAAGGGACGCTTTTTGGACGCCATGGACTTTTCTAAGTTTCCAGGCAGAAAGAACAGTAAAAATGCAGGCAGGGCGCCGGACAAAGCACTCGGGACAAAATGTATGTGAAATGGGTTGAAACAGCAATGTTTTACTATGTAATAATCATTTAAAAAAAATTACATTTTTTAAAAATGTCAAATTTCCCGCCGGTTCCGGCGCCCGTACTTCCCGACGTCACAGGGACAGGAACACGAAAGCCGGATGCTGGCATCGGCCGGAGGAGATGGCCAGGGACGCTGCAGGGGACACATCGCGGAAGCGAAGGACAAGGTAAGCACTGCAGGGACTCCCTGAGCCACATTGCCTTGTATTACGGTTTACACTCAATCCCGTCTGCGAAACGGAAAGCAACATTCCATGTCTGTGTTCTGACTGTGCATTATAGCTGTACGTGCTCTATATGTTATCCTGTCGATTCTTATATTAATAAAATATTTTTGGAAGAAAAAGAATCTGGAAGCCCCCTTTAGCAATCTGGAAGCCCCCAGATCCCGCCTGCATAGTTGAACAAGTATGGGGTACAGGGTACCCCTCGACATTCACAAAAAAACAAAAAGTGTAGTGTGCAAAAAGACAGGACTCGGTCTTTGACAAGTCCTTTATTGAAAGAAAAAATGTCCCCCACAGTGCACCCAAATGTCAATCACGATGCCCCCCATCACCACCGACCCAAAAAAAGAATAAAAAAAGGGCTCCTCTTCTGATGATGGCTTTCAGCCGTCTGCTTCTGAGGTGGCTTGACAGTTCTTAAATATGTAAGGGGCAGTCAGGACGCGGTAACAGAAGTGGTTTGCGTTACGGAGCTGCATTACTTTAACTGACAATTGCGCGGTCATGCAATGCTGCACCCAAACGAAATTTACGTCCTTTTTTCTCCACAAATTGAGCTTTCTTTTGGTGGTATTTGATCGCTTGTGCATTTCTTATTTTTTGCACTATAAAAAAAAAGGACCAACAAGTTTGAGAAAAAAACAATATTTTGGACTTTTTGCTGTTAAACATGTGCAGTAAAAAAATTTAAAAATCAAATTTCGTCATAAATTTCAGCCAAAATGTATTCTGCAACATGTCTTTGCTACAAAAAATCCCAATACATGTAAATTAATTGGTTTATGTGAAAGTCATAGCGTCTACAAATGGCGGTATTGTGGGATACTGGGATTTTTTTTATTAATACTAATAATGGCGGTGATCAGCGACTTATAGTGGGACTGCGGCGGACATTCTGACAATGGCACTCTACTACTAATATGCATATGAATGTCTATATATACAGCCATAAGGATCATCAACACGTGTGTGTATGTGTGTATATATAAACATTCATGTGCATGGTGTGACAGAACGTGGCTTCCGACCCCCCGCCCTTCTGACCAACTCGTGACCGAAGGACCAGCCGATCACGCACCGCGCTGTCACTCGCGTAACAATGCCACTCTCAGTCGCGCCCTGCACCAAGATTTTCCAGCTCGCAGGACTGCAATCTATGTCCCAGCAGCCTGAGAGCCATTGTTACTGGGTCAGGTTAATTACGCAATTAACCCTTCACACTGCCACCACCTCCTTTTTACAGCGAAGGAGGAAAAACTCACAAATCTTAGCAGTAACACTATGATTAGTATAAGTGTCTGTAACACACACTGTCACCTCAGACAGGGATATTCAGAGGATTATTACATACAGGAACACTCTTCCAGGGACAGGATATTCAGAGGATATTCAACACTCTTCCAGGGACAGGGATATCAGAGGATTATTACATACAGGAACACTCTTCCAGGGACAGGGATATCAGAGGATATTACATACAGAGGGGATTATTATTACATACAGGAACACTCTTCCAGGGACAGGGATATTCAGAGGATTATTACATACAGGAACACTCTTCCAGGGACAGGGATATCAGAGGATTATCACATACAGGAACACTCTTCCAGGGACAGGGATATCAGAGGATTATTATATACAGGAACACTCTTCCAGGGACAGGGATATTAGAGGAATTATCACATACAGGAGCACTCTTCCAGGGACAGGGATATCAGAGGATTATCACATACAGGAACACTCTTCCAGGGACAGGGATATCAGAGGATTATTATATACAGGAACACTCTTCCAGGGACAGGGATATTAGAGAATTATCACATACAGGAGCACTCTTCCAGGGACAGGGATATCAAAGGATTATCACATACAGGAACACACTTCCAGGGACAGGGATATCAGAGGATTATCACATACAGGAACACTCTTCCAGGGACAGGGATATCAGAGGATTATCACATACAGGAGAACACTCTTCAGGGATATCAGAGGATTATTACATACAGGAACACTCTTCCAGGGACAGGGGATCAGAGGATTATTACATACAGGAACACTCTTCCAGGGACAGGGATATCAGAGGATTATCACATACAGGAGCACTCTTCCAGGGAGGGATATCAGAGGATTATATATACAGGAGCACTCTTCCAGGGACAGGGAGGATATCAGAGATTATCACATACAGGAGCACTCTTCCAGGGACAGGGATATCAGAGGATTATCACATACAGGAACACTCTTCCAGGGACAGGGATATCAGAGGATTATCACATACAGGAACACTCTTCCAGGGACAGGGATATCAGAGGATTATCACATACAGGAACACTCTTCCAGGGACAGGGATATCAGAGGATTATCACATACAGGAGCACTCTTCCAGGGACAGGGATATCAGAGGATTATCACATACAGGAACACTCTTCCAGGGACAGGGATATCAGAGGATTATCACATACAGGAACACTCTTCCAGGGACAGGGATATCAGAGGATTATCACATACAGGGACACTCTTCCAGGGACAGGGATATCAGAGGATTATTACATACAGGAACACTCTTCCAGGGACAGGGATATCAGAGGATTATCACATACAGGAACACTCTTCCAGGGACAGGGATATCAGAGGATAATTACATACAGGAGCACTCTTCCAGGGGGACAGGGATATCAGAGGATTATTACATACAGGAACACTCTTCCAGGGACAGGGATATTCAGAGGATTATTACATACAGGAACACTCTTTCAGGGACAGGGATATCAGAGGATTATTACATACAGGAACACTCTTCCAGGGACAGGGATATTCAGAGGATTATTACATACAGGAACACTCTTCCAGGGACAGGGATATCAGAGGATTATACATACAGGAACACTCCCAGGGACAGGGATATCAGAGGATTATCATATACAGGAACACTCTTCCAGGGACAGGGATATCAGAGGATTATTATATATACAGGAACACTCTTCAGAGACAGGGATATCAGAGGATTATTACATACAGGAACACTCTTCCAGGGACAGGGATATCAGAGGGTTAATACATACAGGAACACTCTTCCAGGGACAGGGATATCAGAGGATTATTACATACAGGAACACTCTTCCAGGGACAGGGATATCAGAGGAATATTACATACAGGAACACTCTTCCAGGGACAGGGATATCAGAGGATTATTACATACAGGAACACTCCAGAGACAGGGATTCTTTAGTTTGCATTAAAAGCTTTAGAGACAGTTTAACACTTTTCAGAAAATAGGATTTATTACCAAAAAGGTCAAAATGGTGCAATTAAAATATTTACAGAAAAAGATGTAACAAAGATATAAAGAGCAATAAAACAGCAGAGAAATAAAAGAAAGGAGTTCAGAAGGCAGGATACTTGCAATGTCCTTGGTTTGAGCAGAGTCCAATTGTCCGAACAAAAGGATTGCCTTGGCTCTCAGGTCTGTCAGATGGTTCCTGATTGATGTTACAGGAGAGCTGTCTTCTCCAGGCTGTCAGACTTTTTCTACCATATCAAAGGGGTGTCTCCTGAGAACAAATGACCAATCATCCAGTTTGGGGATGGGTGTTAGGGTGACCAAGGTTATGACCAAATCCCTTACAGTTTCAAACTAAGGCCAATAACCTTTAATGGGTACAGGTAGCCAGGGGTGTCTCGAAGCAGGTGCGGGGGGTGAGGCCCACACTGGGTGACACCAACCACACGGGGTGACACCGGACCCGCTCCACAAAAATATTAGTTGTAAAGCAAGCCAACGATCCTCGCAGGATGGATCCAATCCATCCTCCGAGGATCGTCGGCTTTCTTTGCAACTTACCTTTTTGTGGAGCGGGTCCGGTGTCATCCCGTATAGGTTGCATGCCGATGATCCCCGCAGGAGATTCAGATCTGCGAATTGGGCATAATGGATGTCATGTACAGCGTCCATGCCTCTATTACACACAATCGTCACACATAGTAGTAGTTGTTTGGAGGGTGCCATCACTGTGCCCTATTGAAGTGTATTTTAGATCAGTATTTTATATAATTCCTCGTTTAGATTACTAATATTCATATTTTTATTATTATTATTAATCAAATAATATTGTTATTATTATTTTTGCCATTGTTATTATTATCACATTATTACTATTACCACAAGTGAATTATTACTTCTCCTACTTCAGGGAGAATATTAGGTGCCCCGTGTCTCTTCACCTCATCTTTTATTATATTATTCATTTATCTCATTTTATTTCAATGGATGTATTTTACAGGACGTGGTGCTTACCTCTGAGCTAGCTGCTGTTTTTATCATCATTGTTGCTTTTATTGCCACTATTATTATTATTATGATTTTTACATCCGGTTTTATCACTGCAATATATATATATATTTACTAGTACCATCATTATTACCATTACTGTTAGATACTGTCCCCTCTCTGTTCTGTACCCCATATTAATACTGATTCCATGTTCCATCTATTGTAGTGTGAACTGTGATAATGTCATACTTGGTACTGCAAGTGTCATTGTATACGTCCTGCACTGTCATTATTGCTGCCTCCTCTATTGTTTTCCTCAAGCAGGATTCTCTCATTATAATGAGTCCCTGTGTCTCTCCTCCCTTCCTTGTGAGGGGTTAACTCAGCATAAGACCCCTCCCATTGGAGACACTCCCTGGGAAGACCAGAAGTCACGGCTGGAATGCATCTCACAGCAGTCCTTCCGTGATGTCCAGAGTGCGCTCCACTAGGCAAATGAGGAGCCAGCTTTGGCGTGCAATGCCACCTCGTGCACATGTGATAGCCCATGGAGGCCCATAGCCTCATCGGCAGGCCCATCTCCATGACTACTCCAGCGTGCCACCGCCTCACTACGCATGTGATAGCCCATCAGAGGCCCATATCCATGACTACTCCAGCGTGCCACCGCCTCACTGCGCATGTGTGATAGCCCATCAGAGGCCCATAT